TCCCCGCCCGACATGAGCTGTAATTTCCGGCAGACATTTGAGGGCTGCGACATCTGCACCAAGGCGCGGCAGCTCCCAGCAGCCCCCATGGCCGGGAGCGGGGCTGCCCCTCCTGCCTCCTCCCCAGCCATTTGTGTTTTACTCATTTCCTGCTCCCAGTAATGAGGCCGGCGATGCCGGGGTGGCGGCGGTGCCGCTGAGAATGCAGATTGTTAAACACACACACGCACATGGATGTTTTTGTTTCAGGATGAATTTTTAGTGCTCGCGAAAGGGAGGGACTAAGCGGAGCTCGCTGGAGCCTGGCACAGGACCAGCAAGCTTCCCGGCAGCCCTCTGCCAAAAGAATCCAGACGTCCAGTCCCCCGCCCGGCTCCTGTGGCCCCTTCTTGTCCGCTCTCTTCCCCCTCGGCTCCTCAGGGGCCCCTTTCCCGTGGACAGCACTGCCCGGGGACCCCTTGCTCACCCACACCTGAGTCCCTTCACTGCCCCAGCATAGGGTTCCTCCCGCTGTGCAAACACGCTGCAATCCTGACCCCTGACTCCTTAATCCCAATTTTTTTCTCGGTCGTCTCTGGAATTACTGCAGGAGGGTGGACTGAGGCTGTGAGATTCAAATCCTCAGAGTAGAAAACAACTAGAGGCCAAATAGATTCATTGCACTAGTGACTTGAACTAGGTGAAATGTCGACAGAATTACTCAACACCACAGCCTCAAACTCTCAGTACAGAAAATAAACAAACCTTCTAGTGATGTTTTGTATAGTCTCCAGCCCAGCCCCAACCCACTCATCTGTTTCATTCCCCAAGGGACCAAAGGGACGTGGGTCTCCTGGCATGTGACTATCTTCCCCTACACATCTGCCACGATGAACTCTGCCATTTGTCTCCTGTTACAGTGTACTAACAGGATTCTGCGGGTTTTGTTCAGTTTTCTTCTGTTTTGATTTGGTGTTGTTTTTGTTTTTGTTTTTTTTTCTTTAATTTGTCGTTAAAGAAAAAAGAGAACAAAAAAACTTTCTTGGCTGCAGCTATCAGCTAATTTTTGGTTGCTTTCGAATGCCAAGGCCAGCAGGATCCAGGAATTCATCTACTGGTGCCAGCAAGAAAGCACTGACCCAAACAAGGGAGCCAGAACTTGGGCTGCAGTCCTTGCCAGGGATCAGCAAGAGGCCAGAGAGCCCATGCTGCTGAGTCATCACCGCTCCA